GGAGAGAGAGAGAGAGAGAGAGAGAGAGAGGGGGGGGATAGCAAAGGCAACAGAAATGTGGAAGACGTTCAGGGTGACAGAAATAGACCCAAAAAAAAGGTCTTTCTTCTATGAATAATGCATTATGCCCGCAAGAAGGGGTTGACATTGACAAAGATTAACCCTTGACCTTGAGAGCAGACGTCAGCTGATAACATAAATATAGCAGCAAAATAGGGTCAGGAAGTCAACATGTTATGTCATAGTGCGGTGAAAACAGGCCTTTGTCGGTTTCTTTTCTTTTCTTTTTGATTTTTAAATTTTTCTTTTTTTTCTTTTTTTTTGTTTTGTTTTTGTTTGGTGGTGGGTTGTTATGGAGTTATAGGTAGAATCTTTAACTTCGTACATTTACCTTGCTTTTCTTTTTTTTTAAATAAAAAAATACCCATGTATCTTAAAGAGAAGTGGAAGTATTTTAAAATATTACAAATGTGACTTAGGCACTACAAGAAATTATGTTCTCTGAAATGTCTCACCCTTATAATACCCGACCCGCTCCGCCTTAAACCAAACCAAACAACACGATACCGACGTGAAATGGTTGCTGATACCAAAAGTGCAAAAGGACCCCCCGAAAAAAAGAAAAGAAAAATGAAAGAAAAAAAAAGAAGGAAAAAAAAGAAGGAATAAAAAAAGGAAAAAAAAAGATGAAATATTGATGAAATTTTAGCTTACAATGAAATTCGTGGACACAAAAACGATAAAATTATTAGCAGCACGATGTTACTCGCACTCTCTGGATCATTCCTATGTCGTTTCCTTATTGAGTTATAGCGCAAGGATTCAGCATAATGTGTCGTGGTTGACCATGACCGCAACAGGAAGAGAAATAATTAATTATTCACGGTGTGAAAAGTTGGGACGTGGATTTTGTTCTCTGCTGCTAGTTAGGCAAGGGAAATAGCTCGTCTTGTCACATTAATTCTCAGCTTATACCAGAGAGGTTGTATGTATTATAGTACTAGAGCTCGTAGCAGTGACGTCATCCACGTAAAAGATCGGGGTGCTGCGTGTGACGAGTCTTGGAAGTGAGTGTTGATGGGGAAAAAACACCCACACTTGCACAGTCCAACAGACGGATGTAAGAAAATAAGCGTATTTAGTGTTTAAGGTCATTGCCCCTCACCTCATCAAATAAAACATACATAATTTTTAAAATAAAGTTTCCATAATGAAAAAAGTACAGGTTGTGCACATATCTCTTATCATGCGTCAAACATTTGCATATATTTCTGTCACTGGGCCGAGTCAGGCTGGGAGGAATAAACAATTTATTTTGATGGGCAAAATATGGACAATGGAAAATAAAGTTACACCTCTTACCTAGCCTAAGGGTGAATTTATCAATTTCCACCGATCGAGATTGTTCTTTAATGGAAGCCTATGTCTCTTCTGTTCCAATACCGTGGGAGGTTGATGATATACTCTGCTATTTCTTGAAACGGAATTGTGAGGGAGAATAAATTATAGGCTACTTGCGACAGACTGCTTCTTCTATGTTCTGCACAGAATGATCAACAAGCCTACTTTTTACTTCACTGAGACAATAATCTAGTAACAGACGGGTGAGTACTTTTTCCAAGACTCAAATGAAGACATCTAGACGGTCTTGGGTCAACGTGTGGGTATGGTGGTGTTTTATAAAAATACTCGTAATAGACCGTCCCCGTGGTTTTATGCACCCCGCATAATTTAGCAAAATTTGATCGTTTTTAGCATAATGTCTGATAATTTTCCTTTATCATTCTTTGTTAAAATTAACAGAATCGCATAATTTCACATTTTTGGGCTCAGTTTGCATAATTTCAGAATTTTTCTTGCATAAAACCGCGGGGACAGAATAGAACTCGTGGAGGGTGGAGTGGGAGTTCTGATTTTATGCAAGTTTATCGGGGCGTGCCGGCCATGCTGATGAGGGTAAGAACTCCATGTCTGACAAGCGTGACGTCACTGCCACAAACTCAAGAAATATTGATGTTGTTTGTCATGTGAAGCGTTTGCCAGCCAACAGATCTGCCTGTCTGTCTGTCTGATCATTGATCTGTCTTTAAGTCTTTATTTTTTTTCTTAATTAAAATGTATATGTTTTTATGGTTGCTCTGGTGTGGTTTGCTCCTTCCTTCCTATCAAACATCTATCGTCCTCCTATCTTTTTCTTCTTTTTTTGTGTGTGTTTGTTACTCTCTTGATACACCTCTAATCTTCGACGCTTTTGTGAACTTACTGTGTTTCAAATGCTGTGTGTGTTTGTTACTCTCTTGATACACATCTAATCTTCGACGCTTTTGTGAACTTACTGTGTTTCAAATGCTGTGTGTGTTTGTTACTCTCTTGATACACATCTAATCTTCGACGCTTTTATGAACTTACTGTGTTTCAAGTGCTGTAAATTCTTACGAAAACTGAACTTCTATCTCTCTCTATCTTTCAGAGGAACAGAGCATCGCCGAGTGAACGTTTTTACCATCGACCCAGACAACATGACGTCAGCGAACGGCGAGAACAAAGGTAAACCACAATCAACTAATCCATCATTTCCAAATAGTATCGTTTTATTACAGTCTTGGACCCAACATTCTTGTGTGTGTGTGTGTGTGTGTGTGTGTGTGTGTGTGTGTGTGTGTGTG